GCCAAGGTAATTTTTACCAAACCTAAGATCATGTCTACTTTATCCAATCTATAGACAAATTAGTCTTTCTTCTCCATAGTAAGCCTATTTGTTCCTCAGTTCTCAGTTTTTCTAAAATTTGTAAGATCATCTAGAATATGGGAAAAGCTAAATGACCTCATACTCACTGGGATAACCAGTAATGAATGAAGATTTATGCTATGACTACATTAAATTACCAGATCAAGTAGACACCTAAATTGTTATTAGACTGTGTCCGTTAGCCCTCTGCATATGGGCTCTTCCCAAATAAGTCAGTGCATTTGTCTGTTTCAAACTGCAGAACTCATCACTTCTATTTCTAGTCTATTCCAGATTGGAAAATTTTGGCTCAACCACCAACTACTGGCATAACCTTGGGGAAGTCACTCATCATCTCTAGGCTTTAATCTCATCACTATAAAATGAGGAATCGGGAGTTCATTTTAGATCAACTCTGAAGATTTTAAAAACTCAAACATTTTTTGATTTGAGTGTTGTAAACCATGGCTAACAATCTTCTTGAAAGATCCTGTTATAAAGCAAAAGCCACACTTACTTTGCTTAAAATCTTTCACCTTAATCAAAGTGAAAAGGAAAGTCCTGTTAATGTACAGGCACTTCATAACTGGATCTCTGAGGGCTTTCTAATTTCCTTTTCCATGCCCATGTCTCTTCTCACTCCAGTCCATCCATACTGCCCTCCTTTGTGTTACTAAACACACCACATACTCCACCCCCACTGCCTTTGGCCCTTGCTGTTTCCTTTCCTGGAGTTCTGTTTTCCCAGCTGTTCACCCAGCTCATTCCCTTACCTCATTCAGATCCTGGTTCAATGACACTCTCTAAACAAAATGTTTGCTGCTCCCTTGATCTAAAACTGCAACCTGCTCCCTCGTTTCCTACCCCAAGTTCCTGCGGTAGTATTCTCCGTAGCATTTATTAGCATGTAACGTATGTGATCTCCACTCTCTAGAATATAAGGAAAGGGATTTTTGTCTGTTTTGTTCACCACTCAAAATTTTTTGAAAAAAAGAAGAATGAATGAAGGATAAAAAAGTATTCTGCTGGAAGTCAGAGCAGAGTCTGCTGGAACTCTTGATTCTGATTCAGTCTGGTAGCCACTTGTGGACAAAGTTTTTGTCTTTTCTTGACCACTAAGTAATTATTCACTTGGGAAGACACAACATCTCATGTGGGTTTTGACTCCGGGGACTGGAAATCTTTTATCACCGAACAAATGAAAACTAATCATTTGTTATGCAAGACAGCTAATGAGTTATATATAGATGCAAGCCATTCCCAGTTAATTAAAATTAGCATTTTTCTTCCCCCTCAAAACCCATTCTCTCACTCTCCCCCACCCTTTCTCTTTCTCTCTCCTTTAAGTATTATATTTCAAATAGATTTATCCTACAGTGTTTCGGAAAAAAATCTTTAATTACTTTAAGTCCACTATCCTTAAATATCTGAAGCAAAGATCCCCAGAAATTAAAATAATTTATTTAGCTTAAACAAATGTAATTATTTAGGGTCCATAGAAATATTGCAGCTAACTTTAGGATAAAGTGATATAGCTTATTTCTGATCTCGGGTGCCTTACAGATACAACCTGTCACTCACTATGTGTGACTATATCTAACATGAATCAATAAAGCAAACAGTCACTTTGGTGATGTTACACTCCACTGAAAATATAGACCACTTATGAAAAGCCCATGGGATCAACGAAAAGACTAGAGTTTTATTTATATAAGACCCTATCAGTTTCATTGTTTTCCCTTTAAAATGCAAATCTGCTATAAAGAATGAGCCTGGCCTGTTTTCCACTGGACTTGGCCCTTTCAGAAAGTTTCTTTGAGCAACTGATGTCTAGTCTTTAGGATCCCAACCAGCCGAGCCGTGCCAGCTGTGCTGTGTTAGCAGGGGTGATTTGTGCGTTTCTTAAAGAAGCTTCAGAGGAATTGCTGATTTTAGGCACTGGTTGATTAGCTTGATGAAGTGAGTTTCAAAATGTTTATTCCTTCTGCTCATTTTCATTTTTTATGGCTTATGTATTCTTGGTATTCTCTTCCTTTCCTTGTGATGTTCTGTTCAAAAATGCTTGATATCTCAGGGCATTTATTGATGCAGGCTGGCTCATTATGTCCAGACACGTGTGGTGTTCGACAGATCATTTGGGTTTTTTAAGACAAACTTGGAGATGTCTAGAATTGGTTAAACCCTATTAACAGGTGGTAAGCACATTGCTAAGGAGTGTCCTTTGCTACACTCAGTTAATTCCCATCAAAAGCTGACTGATCCCTGACTACAGATCCAGTCATCAACCTTGCTTGCTGTGGAGCCAACATATTAATCTACGTAAACCACAACACTGTCCCTACTTGATCCCACCACTATCCTCTTTCCCGTGCGTGTGGCAAGGGTCTGGGATGATCTGGTTTCTTCAACCTGCAGAATTAAGGGTCACAGTCTGGTTTCTTCCCACATCTGTTCCTCTTATTTTCCATGGACCAATTCTCCATTACCACCCAAAGAGATGAAGGCAAAGCCTCTGCTCCAAGTGTTTGGACACCAGCACAGAGCTGCCTGGGTCTGTGACGAGGCTCATGTGGTTTAGGAAACTATATTGCTTGTTTGAGCTTTTCCAACAGTGTAAAGTAAAAGAATAAAATAGAAAGGGATTTCTATTTATTTTCCAGAGCCGCAGTCATTTTATTTTGTGATTCATTCAACTGGAAAGTGCTGTAAAAGAAATTTCCAGCCTCATGTGATCTGGTGTTGCTTAGAACTGTTTCTGAGATGATAGGCTCTGCTTGAGGTTTATAGATTTAAAGTTATTTGTTTCTCTTCAGCATCTATCTAATTGATATGCGTTCAGATGCCATGAGGGGCCAGCGCTGCCTCCTTTATCAAGTTAGACGGCCTCTGACATAAGCAGCAAGATATTATTTATGTCACGTTTTCATTCCCTTACACTCCTGCTAAACACCTATCCATTTGCCAAGATTCAAAACAAGTGTTGCTTCATCTCGAATCCTCTCCTTACCAACTTGTCCTCTCCAGATAGAAATGACTTCTTTAGACTTGAAGCCCCAGAAGAGACTGACTTCTCACTTAGTCTAACTTGCTTACACTTAAGTCTTATGGCTTCTCTAATTAGACTGTGAATTCCCTGAGACTTGAAGATAACATTTTTATCAGTCGTCTTTGAATTGCCATTGCCTGGCACATAATAGGTGCTCAACAAATGTTGGTTAAGTAAAATGTATTTGAATGAGTACACTTAATGTACATGGTGTTCAAAGGGCATGCCACGCTCCTCCAGATCTCAAGTCTGTCTTGTGGGCTGGGTCCTCTGCCCTTAATAGCCTTCCCTCTTCTCTGTCTGACAAAATCACTCTTGTCCTTTATGTTTTTGCTAACAGTCAGTTAATTATTCTGTAGAATATTCCTTGTCTTTCCCAAACACTGTTCATCAGTCCTTTCATCCAGAGGTCCACTAGCACGTACCTCACACTACAGTTACTATCTGTGTATCACCTGGTCTTTTCCTCTGAAGGGTGACCTCCTGACGGGTGAGGATCCTGTTTAGTCGAGCTTTTACTGTAAGTGCTCAGTGCAGGCCTCGCTCGACATGGTGCCCAGTGAGACTGTCTGTCAGAGTTCTGCTCCAACTCTGATGTTAACCAGTTGTGGACATTTGAATATGACAATATTTCTTGGCTGCAGTATCTGATCTGAAAACTGAGAGGCTGAACTAGAACTCTGAGTTCACTTCCAGCTGAAGGCCTTTATTCATCACAGCATCTCTATTTTTTACTGCCCTGCATTTTGGTACTGTCTCCATTTGAGTCTTTTTCATTTACAAATCTGCTTTTCTTCTCTTTCCCCTATTTTTTCATTCAAAAGTTCTTTTCCCCAACCCATGTCACATGAACATGTTCAAACAGTCAAATACGATATTATTTGCTGAGCTGAGAGAGGTGCTTGTCAGATATATAATTTGGACAAGTTACTTAATCTCTACAGCTCAGTCGCCTCATCTGTAAAATGAGGATGGTAATAGTGCATACACCTCACAGGTGGTTGTGAGGATTCAATTATATAATATTTGTGAAGATTTTTTTTTTAGCATCATCTGGTACAGAGTAGGTGCAATTGAGTGTTTACTTTTTAAATAAATAACACGTTTCTGTCCTCCATTGTCAAAAGCAGAAGCTGACTGTATCTCTTGCTTTCTAGATTATTATATCTTAGACTTGACTGATATGGTTGCCAGCAAGACTTTAGGAAATTATACCAAACTTCTATCATATAATCTAAATTAGAATCCTATTATTTATTTTAAATATCACATTCTTATACTTTTAAAATGCCACTTAGAATTTATTTACAGTGGAATATTATGCAGTTCATTCCCTAGTAATCCAAAAGGTGGAGTATAGCTGTTAGTAATGAATAGTTGTTTAATATGAGGCTTTCATCTTGCTGGTTTCATTATACTTTAAAGTTAGAATGCGCACATTTATGGGCCATTGTGAAATGTATTAGTCTTTAGAAGACGAGAGGGATGAAAGGTTTTTAGAACTGGTTTTGGCCAGATTTACACAGTACCCTTGAACACTTTTTCCAAATAAGACACAGATCTGCTAAGTAACCTTACTGTAGTAGTATCCAAAAGACCATAAGAAATGTTGGTGGAAGACTATTTTATTTCAAAGCAGTTTTCAATTTGTGCTAAATTTAGCTCTCCTGTTCATGAAGTGGAAATATCTTTTTAAAGACTAACCACCCAATAGTCATGTACAGTATGTCTCATTGGAGGGAAACTATGATTGTGTGTTCACTACCAAATGAGATGGTGTGTATGTTGTGTATGGAGGATACAGCAGCAAAAGTTTAATTTATACACAATGAAATCCAGGGGCACTTAATTTTTATAAACAAATTTAGCAAGAAATCATGTTTTCTTTTTTTAGGAATTACGCAGCCTTTAATAAAGCAAGATGGACCATGAAGAGTACTGGGAGAAATGGGAAGGTCTCAGATCTGGCAGCATAAGGTAAGTTATTTTATCTCTTTGGGCTGTGCTCTCCACATCTATAAGACAACTTATATGAATAATATTGCTGTTTGGAAGAAAGATCATAGGAAGAGGGCTTGAGCAAGGAGCTCGGTTGAGAGACTGTTGCAATAGCCCAGCTGAGATTTCACACATCAGGCACAGCTCACAACTTTGCAATGTCCTTGTATTCACCTACTGAATAAGAATGGATGATTTTGTCAATAAGTGGAGGAGGAGCTCACGACAGCATGTGGTCAGTATATTCTGATCGAGTCTTGATTTATTCTTAATAAAGTACATTTCTTAGTATAGATATCTCAGAACAATGCAAGAAATGCGGTTGTGTCAATAAGTTATTTCAGATTATTCCTGTAGTTGTGGTGGAAATCTGTGGATTTGATTATTATGAATCTCTGTGCAGCTTTCTTTGTTGTTGATAAAATGCTTAAGCAAATTTCAGGGCTGAAGTTCTCAAAGTAATTGCCTTTGACCAGCTCCTAAGCCTGAGTTCCTGCCTACTGACATGACTAGTATAAATCACTGCTATTTAGAGAGCCTCCATAATGCATTTTGCAGAGCAAAGAAATGAGAAGGAAGAGACTTGAATGGTTTTTAAAATAATAATGTTTTAAAATAATGATATTTTAACTTCTGGGACAAAGATACATTTAAGTAAGTGAACTATAATCCAACAGGAAGTCAATTGTCTGTCCATTCATAGAAGTGGCCACCTAGATGTTCATCCTACAGAGAAGATAGCTGGAATGTCTGGCATCTTTGAGAACTAGAAAGTGGTTTGTGCAGCTGCGTCTCCCACTATTTTGGCCTGTCAAACTGTGATTTGCTTTACCTTCATGCAGCCTTCCTGCTTGATTCTGACAATAGCCAACCCAATAACCCACTTACTACTTGCTTACATATCTTATTGGTAATGTGTTTGAGAAATATTTCTGATATTGACATTATATCTGGGAACTAGTTCTAAACAATGTAGGAAGGAAAGAGATGTAAGGCTGGCTGTACACATAATTCTTGAAGCTGGGCAAGTCAGTTGAGATTCATTCTCTCATCCTATATTTTTCTATACGCTTGAAGTTTTATATAATAAAAAATAATATATGATTTACATGCTTTTAGGCTTGTATGTATCTAAAAGTGTGTTTGTATGTCCATCTTTAGCTCTTAACTGTAGTCTCTTGAATCATGGGGATGGTAAATCTTATTTTCAACTAAGTCAGTAGTTGGTGGGGACACAGATATTATATGTACTCATTGCTAGAGGAGATATTAAAAAGCATAGAACCCTGCACTCCAATTCCTTGTATTCTAGCTGAGAAAATCACTACATGCAAAAAATCTTGAAAGTGGAATACTAATACCAAATTTAAATAACATTTTAATAGAAAAATAGGGGAGTTAAGACACCATGAAAAATTCTCAATAAATTATATAGCCTACAATTGCTCTGTTTCAGCTGAGGGAAAGATCACTGTACTCTAGAGGAAGTTTTATTTAGGTAAATGGATTTAAGCTGATTCTTAAAAGATAAGCCTTAGGTAAGTAGAGAGAAAAGGGAAAACTTTTTAACCTAATAAAAAGCAAAGAGGAAAAAAAAGAGGGGGGATATGTTTAGTCACCTGAAAGCCTAAGTTTTTAAGTGAGTAAATAAGTTCTAGAAATAATGAAACTTTAGAGATTTATCTACTTTGGAGGGCTGAAGTTTAGATTAAAGAATTTAAGCTTTATTCTTGGGCAGCAGAGAGCCACAAAAAGTGTTTTGCAAGGAAGTGGTTTTACCAAATAAACACATAGTAAAATGAATATAGTGATGAGATTGATTGAGGTAGAGATTGATGGGAGAAAGAATGAAAAGAATAAATAGGATTATTGCAATATTCTGTTAGAAGGTTAGCAGAGGAAATGGAAACAAGGACCCAATGTCGAGGGCATATTGTCAGGCCTTTGAGCTCAATCAGATGTGAGTCTAGGAAAGCGACTTTCCCTGAAGTCTCCCCTATTTCTAGTGTATCCTACTTAGTAAAGTGGATATGTTTTCTACAAGTTTCAATTGGCAAATATTTAGCAATTTCCAAAATAGATGGAGGAGAGTGGGAGTGACTATCAGGGATGCCAGGTGTCAAAACTAGTCAGTAGATGTTGTTTCAGTTCGTCTGTTAACTCTAAGTTTATTAATGACATTCGTGAATGTGGGAAGTTCTGTGTTGTGTGTAGTGCTGGCACCTCTGCTTCTTTGAACCGTCCCACAGGGGCTATTTTATCCGGTTCTATGGAAACAGAGTATTTGGTATAAGAATAGGAATTTGAGCAACCACAAACCAAATTTATGTGCTTATTCTGAGATATTCATTCCAGGGAAAGGCCTGCTGGGCTGGGCTAATACATACTTTTTAGATTTTTCCACAGATTTTAATGAGCCAACACCAATTCTGGCACTGAAATCTCCGCGGTATACAAAATGCGTTATGGGAAACAATTTTTCTAGGGCTGCCAGACTAGTGGGTAAAACATACTACACATCTGTTGGGCCTACAGTTTGCCATGTGTTGGGTGATATGTCAGCCTGCAGACTGGATGAATACTCTGTGTAGTAATAGCTTGTAGTGGGGCAGGTGTCAGGGTTTGGATTTTGACCTCCAGGCAGGTGGATTCAAAGATAAACTCATCCCCTTGTTCTCAACTCAAGGAGTCTGAGAACACAAACTTCATTTTCTTTAGAGTCATTTTGAACTTTATCCAACGTATCCAGTGTATCTGCCATACACTTGAAGAGAAGAAAAGCTGTTTTTCCCACATGATTTTAAGGTTTTTCAAAGTGTTCAGTAAGTAATGTGTTGTCCAATAAGGGTACCATTTCTCATAAATAAAAAGTATCTAGTTTTTTTTGCAAGAAAGAAAATAATTCCACGTAATAAAATTTATTTCTCAATCTGTGAGATTCTAGGAAAAGCAATTAAATATGTAATCAGATTAAATATATAATCTTATTCAGAATCTTGTATATATTTATATAAATTCATTTGGTAGTTATATTTTATCCAAATTCTAAAATATGACCTGTGGATTCTGTCAAAATCACGTAATCTGCCTCATTAGTTTTTAGGTTGTCTAACTAACCATTTACTCTAATACAGGAGATTATTTAGTAGATTTTTTTCCCCTATTAATTTTCCACAAAAAGGAAGCAGGCTTGGCAGGCTGTGTAATGTAGAAGTAAACATCAGTGAATTAGCAGTGAATTGATTTGAAAAGTCCAAGGGGAAGGTGATGAGTAAATGTAGAGTCCCTAGCAGCTACTAGAGTAGTTGTAGCAAGAGCCTTGAATAATTAATCAATTTTCTATAAATTCACCCCAATTAACTAAGAAAAATTTCCTGTTAGCTAAAACTGAAACATTGGATCTAAAAGTCAAAACAGAAGATGACTTGAGAAATGAAAGGAAAAAGAGGAGGAAGACTTGTATAAGAATAGGAGGAGTAAAGCAGACAGATGTATAAAAATTGCTTTATCCTCAGACCCTTTTCTTGGTACTTTCCATAATTTATTTAATTATATAGCAACGTAACATGATAATGTTTTTCCAAGCCAAAAGAGAGAATCCATTAGAATTTGGTGAGAAGAGGACCAATGGCAGACACATTTTTATGGATGACTAGAGAAGAGGAACTTGCAAAAAAGCATGAGAAGAGCATTCTGAGAGGGAAGAGAGTCAAGATAGAGTGAGCAATGGCGAAGGGAGGTGGTCAACAGCATAAACTTTGTAGATTAGTCAGTGACTGCAGGGTATAAGAAAAATCTACTTGTTTGGACAAGTAAGAAGTTGGAGATGTTGAAGAAAGTGGGACAAAGGTGGGACAGAATATAAATTGCAGATGGTTAAGGAATAAGTATATGATGAGGGAGTGGAGAAGAAAACTAATTCTGCGAAAAGAAGAATTGCTCATAGCTTGACGATGCAGCAGTAAAGGAATGTGTCAATGGAGGGGACTCATTGATGATGTGGGAAATTGAAATGGGAATAAAATGATGGGAAAAGCACTAATGGAATGAAAAGGCCAGCTGGAGGATTAGCATTGCAAAGACACCATGTTAAAAAATAAAAAAAAGTTCAGAGTATTTACACTGCAGGAACTCTGTCTTCTGAGTGAAGTAAGAGGTAAAATCAACTGCTGAGAATGAGGGATGCAATACATCTTGTATTTCTGAAATAAAATGGCTATGTATTATATTTTATGAGAGACTGCTGGATTCAATTTGCTAAACCTTAATTTAGGTTTAAGAATTTAGCACTTACATTCATTCAGTGAGGTTGGCTTGCTTAATTTTTTGAATATCTTATAGGGTTTTGGCATTAATCATAATAATAGCTATTTTTCAAACATTTTATGTATGTGAAAATTATCTGTTCCTTCAGAGTTTAAGAGCTCATTTGTAAAGGTTTTGAGGTGGGTACAGTTTCAGAACGAAGTTCTTGGAAAAAAACTTTAGCTTCTATCCTGATTATAATTCCACTCAGGTCTTCTATTTCTTTTTCTTGTTTTTTTTTACTTGAAGTATAATTTATTTACAATGTTGTAATAGTTTTCAGGTGCACCACAAAGTGATTCAGTTATGTGTGTGTGTGTGTGTGTGTATGTTCATATATATGTTCTTTTTCAGATTCTTTTCCCTTATAGGTTATTACAAGGTAATGAATATAGTCCCCTGTGCTATAAGTAGGTCCTTGTTGTTTAGTTTATATATAGTAGGGTGTATCTGCTAATCCTAAACTCCTAATTTATCCTTTCCTCCACCCTCCCTTTCCCCTCTGGGAACCAAAATATTTTTTATTATGTCTATGAGTCTATTTCTGTTTTGTAAATAAGTTTATTTTTATCATTTTTTAGACTCCACATATAAATGATATTGTGTGATATTTGTCTTTCTCAGATTTACTTCACTTAGTATGAAACTCTATAGGTCCATCCATATTGTTGTGA